TTTAAAAGCCTGAATCCCGCCTAGTACTGCTAAATGGCGTACTTACTCGCCCATGTGCCTATATATGGCATCATATGGATCAACCAATTGAGCACCCTCTTTGAAAGTTATCATATCAATGATACTTGCCTTTAGCTTACATCCTACTCACAAGTCTGTTCAAATGTGAATTAATAATAAAATTATAACTATATATTTTGTGTGTTTGTGTATGTGTGTGTATGTTTGTATGTATGTATAATATATATAATATATATATATATATATATATTTATTTATTTTATAAGTATATATGGCAATGATCGAACACTTGCAGACTCCATCTAGGTGGTGTCATATGTGTGTATCTCATCAAAAAGGGTTCACAAAATAAAAACAAAATTATTAAGTTAAATATGCCTACAGTAAATAATAAACGAATGTGTCCAACACCAATATTGAATCATTCCTTTTTAAAAGCCGGAATCCCTGCCTAGTATATGTAAGTGGCGTACTTACTCGCCCATGTGCCTATATATGGCATCATATGGATCAACCAATCGAGCACCCTCTTTGAAAGTTATCATATCAATGATACTTGCCTTTAGCTTACATCCTACTCACAAGTCTGTTCAAATGTGAATTAATAATAAAATTATAACTATATATTTTGTGTGTTTGTGTATGTGTGTGTATGTTTGTATGTATGTATAATATATATAATATATATATATATATATATATTTATTTATTTTATAAGTATATATGAAGATACTGATGAATGTTGCTTATTTAATTCTTGTGATGTGAATTGAATGTTGTGATGGAATGTGTATATTGCATTATTTTTATAGATTTTGATATTTTATAAATTTATATTTAAATTCAAGAACTTTAAGGGATGGTCTCATAATCAGAAAAACAATGCAATTAAAAAAAACAACAAACAAACAAAAACGGGCTGAACACAAGAAATTTGGGAAAAAATCAATTACATGAATGTCAAACTAAACAAGACAAATCATTAATATATATTATATAGACCTACGTAAATAAAGTGACAGCTCGAAGTCGTTTTGCGGTAAGGCTAGGCTCTGATTATTATACATTTTGAATTCTAAAGAACAGAACGTTCTGTTGTATACGCATATACATATATGTATATATATATATATATATATATATATATATATATAATGTATATATATAATGTATATATATAAGATAAGATAAGATAAACTTTTATTTGTCCAAATGTGGCGTATTTACATTCAAATTACTGTACATAGTAAAAATCAATAAAAAACATTATATAAAATACATGAAAATACATAAAATATTATTCTTATTACAATTATTATCACAATTATAATCATTATTACAATAATTACGATCATTACGATCAATGCTCTGTATGAATGTTTTATTATATTTATTATTACTACTACAACCATCATCATTAATACCAAATTATCTTGATGCATATTTATTATATAATATGATTGAGTTCATTACAAATGAAAAATTGTTCTGTTATATGTGTACTGCTAAATGGCGTACTTACTCGCCCATGTGCCTATATATGGCATCATATGGATCAACCAATTGAGCACCCTCTTTGAAAGTTATCATATCAATGATACTTGCCTTTAGCTTACATCCTACTCACAAGTCTGTTCAAATGTGAATTAATAATAAAATTATAACTATATATTTTGTGTGTTTGTGTATGTGTGTGTATGTTTGTATGTATGTATAATATATATAATATATATATATATATATATATTTATTTATTTTATAAGTATATATGAAGATACTGATGAATGTTGCTTATTTAATTCTTGTGATGTGAATTGAATGTTGTGATGGAATGTGTATATTGCATTATTTTTATAGATTTTGATATTTTATAAATTTATATTTAAATTCAAGAACTTTAAGGGATGGTCTCATAATCAGAAAAACAATGCAATTAAAAAAAACAACAAACAAACAAAAACGGGCTGAACACAAGAAATTTGGGAAAAAATCAATTACATGAATGTCAAACTAAACAAGACAAATCATTAATATATATTATATAGACCTACGTAAATAAAGTGACAGCTAGATGTGTATAAG